AGCTGTTCCCACGGTGGGGTCATCTGGCGTTTTTACAGTGCCGCTCTGCTTCCTAAGGGCGACCACAGTGCAGCCTCGGGTGAGGCACTCAACATGTACACGCGCACTGACAAGTTAGCATGATCCTCATTCCTCACGTGAGAAAACCGCAAGTTAAGAGTAACTTACCTGAGATGGCAAGGTTTGGTGAGAAGCAGATTTGGGATGTGTCCCGGCGGGTGGAACCTCGAAGTCGGTGCCCTTAAAGGCAACACCCACTGCTGTTTTAAGAAGCCCTCCCCTAACTGGCAGGAAGCCATACCGAGACAGTCTTCCCCCTAATGAGGATCTCCTGGGGAGTTTGTTCACAGGGCTTCCCGAACCCTCAACCCTGGAGGTTCTGACTCCATGGATCTGTGCTGGGCCCAGAAATGGTTTTTTAACAAGTGATCCAGGTGATTCTTCTCATCAGAAAACTATGGGAATGGTATTAGACCAGGGGTCAACAAGGTAAAGGGCCAGAGAATATTTTTGGTTTTGTGGCCAAAAGGTCTCTGTTGCAAGTATTCAGTGCAGAAGCAGGCAGCGGGGGTTTCAGAAATGAATGGGCGTGGCGGTGGTCCAACACTCGACTTACAAAAACAGGTGGCTGGCTCTAGTTTGCCGACTCCTCCCTTAGACCATTCATAATACCATCAAAAAGAGGCATTAATGCTGCCTATCTGTCACCTTAGCAACGCCAAGGCAATTGATCTGATGAAAATCTTCCCAACACTGTGAAACATCACCCTCATCAAGGGGTAGAGTCAAGGTTGTGGCTTCCCTTCCTCTTCAGGGAGCAGGACTTTTAATCTCAGAAGCCGGGTTGTGACCTCCCCTGTCTGCACAACTCGTGATGTAGGGAGGACATTCATAGGTCAAGCCCCGGCAGGTAAGTGACACTTTCACCTCAGCATCTCGGTGAATGTGGCGGTCAGCCTCCAAGATTTCCACCCCCCAGTGAATACACACCGTTTTCCAATTATCCAGTCACACTCATTTAAGTCCTACTCGGCAGGGATTTTGCAGATGTAATTAAAGTCCCACATCAGTAAACTTTAAGAGAGGGAAATCGTCCTGACAGGCCTTGTCCAATCAATTGAGTTCTTTAAACCTGAGGGTAGAAGTCAGAGACAGAAATTGAAATCAAAATGAGAGGAGGACTCAACATGGAGAGAGTCTTCGTGGCTGGCTTTGGTGCTGGAAGGGCCACGTGGCAAGGAAAGTGGGTGTCCTCCAGGAGCTGAGAGCGCCCTCCAGGAGCTGAGAGCTTCCAGCAACAAAGGGGTCCTCAGTCCATAAAGAAACAAGGTCTGCCCAGCCGGTGTGGCTCAGCGGATTGAGCATCGTCCCATGGCCTGAGAGGTTCAGGTTCGATTTCCGGTCAGGACACATGCCCAGGTTGTGGGTCTGATCCCCAGTGGGGGGCATGCAGGAGGCGGCCGATGGATGTTCTCTCTCATCGATGTTTCTATCTCTCTCTCTCCCTCTCCTTTCCTCTCTCTCTAAAATCAATAAAGAAAAAAAAATTTTTTTAAAAAAAGAAACAAGTTTTTCCAACAACTGAGTTTAGAAGAAGACGCTGAGCCCCCTCTGTGACTGACACCTCATCAGCTGGTGTGACCCCAGCAGAGCAGAGAATCCAGCCACACTGTGCCGGGAGTTCTGACCTCAGAAACTGTGAGACTATAGTTTTGTATGGCAAGTTGTTCCATTTGTGCTAATTTTTGGACAGCAATAAAAAAAAATTTTTTTTAATAATACCGAGAGGGCCCTAGCTGGTTTGGCTCAACAGTTAGAGTGTCAGCCTGCAATCCAGAGAGACCCAGGTTTGGTTCCCGCTAAGGGCACGTACCTCGGTTGCAGTTTGTCCCCGGCCCTGGTTGGGTCGTGAGGTAGGCAGCTACTCGATGTGTCCCTTTCACATTGATGTTTCTCTCTCTCTTCCTCTCTCCCTCCCACTCTATCTGAACAAAAAAAAATGGAAAAATGTCCTCAGGTGATAAAAATATAATAACAATAATAATACCGAGTCTGAATTACTGCTCGGGATTTTTAAGACTAGTAATTTCTGGGTTTAAATAGAGATGGATGTGTCCCCTTGCAACCCCTTTCATTCATCGTGTCTGGGTCTCCCCTGACTCAGGCCAGTGTGCACAGCTCTCCTTTCAGGAATATTCTTATCAAGACCACCTACTGCCATGATGCTCATCCCAGACCAACATGCAGCTTATTTCAACATGCCTGTCTTGTGAAAAACATCAGACCGGACATTTGGGGTGAGAGGGTGATAGAGGATGAAAAGATAAACAAGGAGTTTACATCTTGGATGAGGGACAGATGTTTGGAAAATTAACTGTCAGGCAGGTATGATCATTGAAGTGTAAGAAAATCGTATGGGAGCTCAGAAAGTAAGGCAGTTCATTCTGACCAAGAAAAGACTGCATTTCTGTGGGAGGGCACAGTCGAAACCAGAGAACAGCAGTGCATTTGGTAAGTGTAAGATATTCGCAGAGATTGTGGATGGCTTTCTTTATACAATGGCCCGCTGAGGGCCCCCAAAACTCTTCCTGCATCTGGGAATTAGAAGCTCTGACCACCAAGTAATCTTTCATTTCGGGGCACCTACTGTTAGATTCTTTTTTTCACTTTTATGAGGATGACTGATGCTCAGCTGAATTCAGGGGAGCATTTGATTTGCCTGCCTCCTCCAGGGATGGCACTATTCAATGCATGAACAGTCACCCAGCATCAGAGATCATTCAGCCACGAATGTGAGAATTCTGTCACCTGATAGAGCTTACAATTGTCAGTGTCCTCTTAAAAATTTTTCCCAGTGTAAGATACAGAGGTGGGGAGGGCTGGCGGGAATGAGGAGCCTGACTTAATACAATGCAATTTCTATTGGCACTAGCTTCAAGCAGCCTTTTAACAGAGATGTCTAATTGGTCTTTATTGAGCAGAACCTTCCCTTCTGCTTATAAAAGGAAAGATCGCTCTTCCCCCTGGTTCTGTCTGAAGAAGTTAATAGCCCCAGTTTCCTCCTTCAGCAGAGATATTTAATGGCCGGGAGACTATCATAAATAGAGTTTATTGTCCAAAATACAAGCCACGTTCTAATCAACCTTCACATTGAGATTGCTTTGCTTGTATCTGTTGATTTTTAGAGGGGCTTTTCCCAGCTGACAAGCACATTTTTTCTTGCCACTCGGTCTGCTGTCCAATTAACAAATGCCGTTAGCAAAGTAATCTATAGGCCTTTGCCAAAGACCCTTGAGGACGCCGTAATGTGTATCGATTCGATCCTCTCCTGCAGTAGCTCCGAGACGGGCCAGAGCTCAGCCGTCATTGTTTGCACACATCGTGCGGGAATACCTGGCAGGTATGAAGATGATCATTGTAATACGACTTCCAGGATTCAGTTAAAACAGAGCTACTGCTTGGTAGTGATCGAGAGGAAAAGGAATATTTTCCGAGTTACTTTAGTTTGTTTTTAAAGGGCCTCATTGATGTTAGCATGACTCCTTGAAATAACCTTCGAACATAAGCAGATATTAATATTTCCATTTTACAGCTAGGAAACTTTGCATTAAATGTTCCTACTAGCATGTTATTTGAGGAATAGGTTTGGCAGTAAACTAGAGGCTAGTACTTACTACTACAGTATGATTATTATTTGGGGATTTGTTCTGGAGTTATGGATTTTCTGGGGTTTTTGTTTGTTTTTGTTTAGCTTTCCTCCCACTGGATGCTGGCTTTGCTCACCTGTCACCTGCCACTGCCCATCCCCCCAACTCCTCCAAGTTTCCATCTTGACATAGTAGGCACCGTGGCCATAATTTTTCTAAACCAAAATTTTGAAACCTGTTTTATTAAAATGAAAGTGTTCTTAGGTGAAAAAGAGGACAGAATTTTGAAACCATGATTTTCTAGAAAAAGCTGAGATATATATCACTCCAATAGTGTGGCTCTACCTTATACCCAAAGGGCTAGAACAGAAGATGTGGGAAGGAAAACACCTACCGTTTACTGACAGTTAATAGAAATATAATTAACACCGGTGTAAGATCTGGGCTTACAGTCTTACCTTGACTGTGAGGGGGGAGACGCTTTCATCCCTCACACCCACCGCCAGTTTTATTGAATTATAATCGACATATATATTTGAGATATAAATGACATAATAACATTGTATTTGTTTAATGTGTGCAAAATAATAATTTGATATATGTATATTGCAATAGAATATTCATCAGCTTTATGCTGATGAACCTAAATGAGGTTTATTCCCTTAACTTCCCCTGTTCCTGGACATTGTTGGCAAATGGCACTAATTGGATTTCTGCTGTCTCCCTGAGTAGGGTGATTTAAGCTAGTCACCCTCTGGTTGGGGAGGAGTAGTGTAAACCATTTACTCCTAAGTGTCCTTGGTTAGGGAAGACAGATTTTGCGATTTACTAGATGTCAGTTTAACTGTCTCCGTTTACCTGGTCCCTTGTCCTGGTTTGCCAGCCTGTCTCACTCTGAGACAGATAAGGGACCTGAGGGCTGGCTACACCATCAAAATTCAAGCTTCCTGATCTCAGCTTGTTGTGGGGTTTGGAACTGACCTTTCTCTGCCCTGAGGTGAAGATTACAAAAATAGGACCCTGCTGATTTTTCTGATTTTCTAGTCCAACCCTGAATATGGCAGGCAGGAGGTGCTAATAACATTTTTCCTCCCTCCTTGCTGAAGCAATAGATAAAACCATTTTGCAGCTGTGTTCCCCTGTCCCTAAAGCAAGCAGTATTAATGAGAAAACAAAGCAGTGACAGGGTGTGCGTTAATGAGCTATTAATGCCTGTAGTGGGTGCCCACGGTCCGAATGAAGCCAAAGGCCAAGCGATTTCCACCACCCAGGGAGCGCACTAACAGCCAATTACAGTCCATCCTGAAAGGTTCCCTCTCCCGGTCTGGAGTTCTTTCAATTTAGAAAGTTGTGCGAAAGGGCTTCTGTCGTGAGTGCACAAGTGTGTAGGGCAGCTTGACTGCTCTGTGAGCAGAGTCGAATCAAGAGATTTCAGAAGCGTCATTTTTTGGTTTCTGGGCAGCTGGTGATTGTTGGTCCAGGCTCCCGCTTTAAAATAAAAAAATAAAAAAACAAGCATAGGCTTGTTTCAGTGTGTGTTCGTCTCTCTTCTTACAATCAAAGGTGAATTGGCCCACAGAGGAGAGGGAGAGAGCAAAGGGAAGGACTGGAGTGACAGGTGATCGGGCGGCCCTCAGAGCAGCCCGGGACCCTGTTCGCTGGAGGCAAGAGGCCCGAGCTGGGAGCTATTTCCTCTCCCCCTTTCCTCCCTGTGTCTAAGCCGGCAGGAGAGGAGGAAGTTGACATTTTTGTAGGAGCTTTTATTTTAAAAACTATTTACTCTCGTTGACACTTTCTCTTCAAAGAATACCTGTCTCCTAATAAAAATAAGAGCTAAATCCCAGTACTGCTGCATCCAGTATCACATTTAATCCCATAACAGTCCCCTGCGGGGAGTCACGGAGAAGTGAAACAGTTCACCCCAGATCACACACCGAGAGGGTGGAAGAGCCAGTTTTTAAAACCAGACGTCTGCCTCCAGTGCCGGACCCTGGAACTGGACTCAGTCTACAGGTCTCTTCTGCTCACCTTGACCTGGAGGTACAGGCTCCTTTTCTGAGAGGATAGTAGGTTACAGAATTTATACTGGAGCCCTGGCCAGTGTGGCTCAGCGATTGGAGTGTCAGCCTGCACTCTGAAAGGTCTCAGGAGACAACCGATAGACGTTTCTGTCTCTCTCTCTCCCTCCCTCTCTCCCACCCTCCCTCCTTCCACTCCCTGAAAATCAACGGAAAGATATTCTTGGGTGAGGATAAAAAAAATGTTTACATTGCAGATGGTTTCTCCCCACAGGGCAGATGTCTTGCTTCTGCAGGAAGCCTGGAGAAAGTCAGAAGGCAGAGCTTTGCTATTCCAAGTGTGGCCCACAATCCAGCAGCACTACTGTCACCTGAGAGCTTGTTAGAACTACGAATCCAGGCCCCACCCCAGAGCTATGGACCAGAACCTGCATGTTAACAAGGCCTGCAGGAGAGGCACATGCCTAGCATAGTTTGAGAAACAGCAGCCGGGGTTCCAGTATCCCATCCTTGGGATCATGTTCTTCTGAGCAACTAGTTAAAAGGAAGCAAAGACTTGTTCTATACCTGTTCTGCCTCAGCCACTGGGATATCATACAAGCTCATTCACTCCTCCTAGATCCTGCGAAAGAGACTGAGAGTCAAAATGGTCAAGCACCCAAGCTTCTGTAAAAGAACATGACCAAGGAATATTAGAGTCCAGAGCCCTGTCAAGATGGCCCCTGAGCACAGGACACAGCACACAACTCAGACCGTGGGTCAGGAAGGTGGGCCAGGGTCTGCTCTACAGAGACCACAGCAGAGCATAAGGCAAAGGTGAGAAGTGAATTTGATAGTGGAGTCTCTCAATTTTGAGATTTAAAGAAAAAAATATCTGGTTAAAACCATACTACCAAGGAGTAAAGAGAGGGCTTCTCAAAGCCTTTGGACTTAGAATTTAATGCCTGTTTATTGAGAACCTCCCAGTGCATTTGCTCGGTACTCCATCAAAATGGAGTTGTTCTCTGTGCCCTAAAAGCTTATGATCTAAAAATGACCCAGAAACGGGTCAGGGGTGAAAAACGGCAGAACAATGCAACAGCCTTAATCAGACCGTCTTTGCTTTTCTTTGCTTATAAGTCACTGGCTTTAAATTTAATATAGTTTCGTGTCTTTATTTTTCTTGAGGTTTTCTTAAAAGATCATATAAAGATTTTCTTCCATGGTAAGACTTTTATATTGTATTTTTCTTAACATGGAGTATGGTACATTTACCCTCCATCAGATGATCCCTTATAACCCATCTTGCTTTATTAAGAAGACTGCTAGCGGCGTCTATGTCCCTAGTAATAAAAAATGTATGTTCAGGCCCATTCAAACCAATGAAAATTTGAGTTTTCAAAGCACAAGATAATGAAAATTCTCTAGATCGGTGTCTTTTACTTCTTTTAATCTGTTAACAGACCCTGAGTGTCTCCGATGAAAGGTACTCTAGCGTGAATTGCTATCGTTAATAGCATTCCATACAGGTAACTCTTGATTATTCCAATTTCTCAAAAATTTGGGCACTTTTACTGCCTCTATAACCTCTCTAGGGAGTGTGAAAGAAAGGAGACCTGTACAATTTATTTCTCAAAATGTATACAGAAATATAATTGCACATACATACGGGGAAGCCTTATAAATAATGGATGACGGGCAGTGTGATGTCAATAATAGAACTACTCATTTAGAGACAACACTTGTCACAACTCGTTCCCTCACCAAAAACAATCAGGAATTTTTAGGAACCAGCAGACTAGACATGGAGATTTGTAGGGACCTGGGCTGTGCGGAAATGGTTTGTGAGCACCCCCTTGAAGAAGGTAGCAGTTGTCTTGCAACAATGCAAACATGGCTGCAGATAGTTGTCTTGTAACTTCACCTCTTGCAAGGTGACTTTTTAGCTTCTTCTACCAGGGGGTAGAGTCAGTTTCCCCAGCCTTGAACATGGGTTCACGTGGGCCTTGCCTTGGCCAATAGAATGCAGCAGAAATGATAGTGTGTCAGTTTGGAGCCAGGACTCTAGATGTCCTGCAACTCTTGGAGTCCGGCCATCACCATGAGCACAAACCCCACCAGCTATCGGCTGGGGGATAACAGACCTGTGGTCAGTCAGTCCCCATCCCCACTGACAGCCAGCCCCTAGCCGACTCCACAGGTGTAGGCAAGTCCAGCCACAATAAGCTGGGAGTTTTTTTATGTTTTTTTGTTTTGTTTTGTTTTTTTCTATATTGATTTTAGAGAGAGAGAAAGGAAGAAAGAGGGAGAGAAAGATAGAAACATCGATGAGAGAGAACATCAATTGGTCACCTCCTGCATGCCCCCTACCAGGTACTGGGCCCACAACCTGGGCATGTGCCCTGACTGGGAATTGAACCGGCAGCCTCTTGGTACATGGGTCAACGCTCAACCGCTGAGCCACACCAGCCAGGCTGCCCACCAGAAATCTTAAGAGATTAAGTAGAGACCTTAACAGGGTTCAGTCACATACCCGTCCAGATGGTTTGAACACACATGGTTCTCTCAAGGTTGCATCCTTGACAATGGTTCCCACTGTGGAAATGGTGGGCACAGTGTACATTCCGAGGATGGGGAAGGGGTGAGGAGCCTCTGATTGCCCGGATCCAGCTCAAGGGTCAACCAGTGGTCACATCTTCTTGATGACCTCCCCCAACACTATCAACAAGGGAAGATGCCAGAGAAGATAGCCTAGGGCCAGAAAACATTCTCCATGTTATAATAAATGCCAGGCCACTCAAGCAGAGGCCATAAAACCTAAATGGGGCCTGAAAATAGGAAGCATTTTAGGACTACCCCGGGGTTGGTAGTGACCTTCCCAAAGAGACAAGGAGAGCAGAAAACTGGGTGGAGTCCAAAGAGCAAACAAAGAAAGGCAAGGCTGGGTGTGTAGCAAAATATGGACCCCGATATGTGCATCTCTGAACCTCTAGGGCACTGCAGACCTGTTCTTTCTTCAGTCTCCTAGACCCAAATACTCAGGGTTATTTTCGCCTGTCCAGCAAGTTGACAGTTACTTGCTTAAAGTGAACCAACCTCCCTGGACCTAACAGATGCTTGGAAAGGAGTGAGACCACCAGGAATGGGGGAGAAAGCAACGTGTCAACAACGACCAGGTGGGAAAGAGGGAAAAACACCTTGTGGACCAACTGGGTGGATTGGTGGCCTGAAATTAAATTCTCCTGGGCTTAAGGGGGCAGATGGGGAAATAGGAAGAAGGAAGAGGGAGCATGAGGATACAGTCAAGCCCCATCATATGGATATTTAATTTACATATTTTATATAAATTCCCATTAAGTCTGCTCTGAATAAAATAAAATAAGCAAAAAAGTACTTGACCCATGCCAGTGATTTTGCTTACCATCCACTCAATAAGCTCAGAGTCAGAGGAAGAAGGGAGGTGTGAACCCGCCATCTCTCAGGAAGGACTCAGCTTCAGAGGCCTCTCATAGCCAAGTAGTTCACCTTTCGTGTTTTTCAAGGAGCACTATTGTGAAGCGCAAGTCAACCCCTTCACTGGTTCTCAGAGAATCATCAATCCCTCCCAGTATTGGCGAAAAACAGGGCTGCTTTGACTTTTTAAGAAGCAGTCTCCAAAGTGGTCCAGGTATAGGGGATTTCTCAAGAAAATTAACCATCGTTAGCAATTTTTTTGTGTTATTAAGAACCTAAACTTCACATAACATATGCTCCAGATGCACTGAGAGACAAGAGGGGAAAGGTGAATGAATCCAGGACACTGACCCGAGGAGTGGAGGGGCAGCCTCCACAGTGTGGACGGAAAGAGAAGGGGATCGTTCAACCCGTGGGAGCCAAGCAAAGACCTGAGCCCGTCATCCTTGGGCTCAGGATGCCATGCTCTCTTCTTCTGTGTGCTCACCCTCCTGCCCTCAGGTAAATAGCCACAAGACTCTCCCCTGGGGAAACACCCTCCATTCTACTCCAGGTGTCCTCCTAGCCAACCCTGTCTATTTCCCTTCATCATGGGATTTCTTGACCTGCCCCTAGTGGCTCCCCTCCCATCTACACTTCAGCCCATTATGCCCCACCACCCGGAAACTGCTCTTCCTGAAACCCCCAATAATTTCTTTGTTGACAAGTCCAAAGAAATACTTCTCAATTCTTATCTATGCAACCTCCAAGCAGTTACCATTAAACAATGCTTCCATCTGTGTGTGTGTGTGTGTGTGTGTGTGTGTGTGTGTATGTGTATTCCACTGCCTACATATGCCACTCATGACAGAAGCCCTATTTACAATGCCTCTCTCTTTTTTTTCATCTTTATTGTTGAATATATTACAGATGTTCCTCATTTTTCCTCCATTAACCCCCTCTTCCCCACTCCCACCCCCCTCCCGCCTTTTCCCACACTATTGTCTGTGTCCATTGGTTATGCATATAAGTTCTTTGGTTTATTTCTTCCCACCCCACA